GATATTTTCTTTGAATATTAAGATCAGACAACTTCTTGAAACCAACTTTTGAACAAACAAAGTCCTTGGATTTTAAATTTATGGAATTTGGCCAGTAACTGTGATGATCCTTACAAACACTAAAACCAAGATTATATCCATATTTACGATAAGCCTCATATGCCTCTTTCTCATTAACATAAACCTTCTGATAAATACGCAATAAATGAATTATCCAATACGCAACCAATACGCAATACATACACAACCAATAAGCAGTAATTAAGCAAATCAATACTCAACCAATACGCAACTAATACGCAATAAAAATCCAACATATGTGCAATTAATGCGCAATGTATACCAAATCAATACGCAGATGATACTCAATGTATATCACACAGATAAGCAATACATACGCAATTAATACGCAACAAAACTTTGCAATAAGAAAATCGAACTACAAATTCGTTATTGTAACCTAGCTCAATAATACTTTAAAAGAAGGGAACATCTAGTCTTCTTTTAATATCAATTACAATTTAACATTATGTACATTATTGATAAAAATACGCATCTATGTTAAACACAATAAAAACATCAAAAATCTTTGTACCTTAAAATAATTACATCAAAAAAATGACTTTGTAAAGAGATCTAATTGCAACATTGCTATGAAGAAAACTTGGAAGAAGGCAAACTTTACCGGTAAGCTGAACTTTTCGTCCAGTCGCACTGATTTTAGGTGTTCTGCTTCATGTGCGCTTGTTTCCTGGACGTCGGCATTCTCCTGGTTATGGGCTTCCTCCGAGACCTGTGAAAATATTGTCTGCTCATAAAAACCAATATCCTCCTCCAGATCCAGATCAATCTCCATCTTCATTGGCATTTTTTCTGCTAAAATTTTGGCTCTAAGCGTTATATATTGCGGTGATTCGCGCCTTAAATTCTGAAAAAAAGAAGCGCCAACCTAAATTTAACGTTATCTCCTGGGTCGGGCTGGAAGACGGGTCAGATATCGTCGGGTTTACGCAAGTCAATTGACTTTTTAGCCCTTTTCACGTAAGCAATCGAACACATATTTATGACCGGATTTCACACAGAATAATTTCTCCAACATCAAAGGAGTTTTGACTGTTTCCATTCTTCTTTGGCGATGCACGCGCGGTGCACGTGCCAACGCCATCTTCGGAAGACAGTACGATCAACGCCCTTCTTCCTAAATGTTGGATCCTTTCAAAAATTCTCCCCATTTCTCCTTTCTTCTCAAATTCGTAGCTCCTCCTGACGGTGCCGGAAAATAGTCGCTCCACATCTTCGATATTTTTTATCTATTTTGTTCATTTCCCTCTGGAAGGCCCGAAGATGGCAGGGATCGACTGCGCCGAAATCGCTAATATGATCGGCAGTTAGAGTTGGCTCTTTTTCAATCGAAGCTTAGTTTTCGTTTACCTGTTGCAGTATGCGGCCGTGACGATCTTGGGAGAAGGGGTTTTTAGGGTTTTTTTTGTGGTAAATATGATCAAACAGATACTCGGCAAGCTCCCGCGCAAGCCCTCTTCGAAATCCTCCTCTAGCGACTCCCTTTCCGACGTAGTAATAGGCAGATCTGCGCCGGGTAGGAAGGAAGGTTTCATTGGCTCTTCTGCTGCCCCGTCAGTTGGGCTAGTCAACGGTGATGTGGGCCTATCAGCGTCGTACGAATCCCTCCCAAGCTTCCGAGACGTGCCGAGCTCGGAGAAACCGGTTCTGTTTCTACGGAAACTCGGCATGTGCTGCGTGGTCTTTGACTTCTCTGACCCAACAAAGAACGCGCGGGAGAAGGAGGTGAAACGGCAGATGCTGCTTGAGCTCGTGGACTACGTCTCGATTGTCACGAGCAAGTTCGGCGAGGCGGCGATGCAGGAGGCCACGAAGATGGTGGCGGCCAATATCTTTAGAACATTGTCTTATTCCACTTGCGGCGATGGGATGAAGGTTGTAGAGGGTGCTGAAGCGGAGGAGGAGGAGCCGGCAATGGAACCTGCCTGGCCTCACCTCCAGATCGTTTATGAGTTCTTCCTCAGGTTCATAGCTTCGTCCGAGACCGATGCGAAGATTGCGAAGCGCTATGTTGATCACTCCTTCATACTTCGGCTGCTGGATCTATGCGACTCCGAGGATCCACGGGAGAGGGAGTACTTGAAGACAATTCTCCATCGGGTTTATGGGAAGTTCATGGTTCACCGGCCTTTCATTAGAAAGGCCATTAACAACATCTTCTACCGATTCATATTCGAGACAGAGAAGCACAATGGGATTGCAGAACTACTTGAAATTCTCGGCAGTATAATCAATGGTTTTGCGCTACCACTGAAAGAGGAGCACAAATTGTTCCTTGTTCGGGCGTTGATTCCACTCCACAAGCCTAAGTGTCTTGCTCTGTACCACCAGCAGCTGTCCTACTGCATCACGCAGTTTGTGGAGAAGGACAACAAGCTGGCTGACACAGTCATTAGGGGAATCTTGAAATACTGGCCCCTAACCAATAGCTCGAAAGAGGTTATGTTACTTGGGGAGCTGGAGGAGGTTCTCGAGTTCACTCAGGAGCCTGAATTCCAGAGGTGCATGGTGCCTCTCTTCCGACAGATAGCTAGATGCCTTAACAGTTCACATTTTCAGGTATACCTTTTCACGTTGCTTGAAGGCGATAAAATATTTCAGCTTAGAATGTCTGTTACCCTCCAGTGTTATTATTTAAATTTTCAGCTTCGTTATGATGTTGTTTTTTGTTTCCACTAGCATGGTTGAGTCACCTTTACAATTAAAAGCTCCTAACAAATCCGTATTGCTGGTTTTCTTCATTTTTGCTTTATTGTGAAATTTGGTTACAGGGGGTGAAAAAGTGCTTATTTAGATGTACCTGCTAATACTTTGTCTGCCGAGTCAGGAACTTAACTATAGTTCATACCCTTAGCAAGTGGCTACACTACTGTGTTTGTTGAGGATTGGTTTATGGGAACTTACTCCTGCTTGGCACAAAAACCCGTGACTTTCAAGCAATAATGGCACATCTAAGAAGTGCACCCTGGTCCGGCCTTAAGAAGTTGAACAAAAGTACTTGAGATCTGGCTACGTCATAGAAAATTAAGCTGTGATTTATTGAGAAATCAACCTATTTTATTGGTCATTATGGTGATTGAGGATAATAGTATTCTTAGTGGATGAAGAAGAGGTTCAAGTCGCATATTTTTTATATGGGAAGCTATATTGGGAAGAAGTACTTGCAACCTTGCTATTTATCAAAAACCAGCTAGTTTTCTTAATCTTATAGGGAGGAAGAGGGAGGGGGCATGAGATAGTCTAAACCACTATTGCTTGCCTTCGAGATCTTTGATGAATTAGTAAATGGCACAAAGGACAAGTTAAATGAGAAGGAGATTGATATGCAGTGTAACTGCACCATGCTCGGAGTAAAGTGATGATTGAACTATATGCTACTTACCTTTGCCTTTAGTTTGTCACCTATAACATTGAACTGTTCTTAGTTCTATGTAGATTTTTAGTACTAATTTGCTACTTTTCCCTAGAGAGCTTAAAGTTTTTTTTTTCCATGTAATGAAATGTGTTACTTTTTTTTTTACATTATTTCTTTTATGACAGGGTCAATGAAAATGACAAAATTTCTGTAAAGATTATATTAAATCTATTCAACTAGTTAATTCTGTTATCCATTGTTTGAAATGGTTTTCATGGGATAAATAGTTCGTTTTTGTTTTTAGATTATCAAATTCACCAAGACAAATGATCGTTATTTACATGGTTCAATAAATTTGCTCTGATAATGCTCTAGATTCATATCAGAACAACTAAAGCTAAATTTCACATAATAAACTTGGTTCCACATGGTGCAAAATTAGGCTATGTGATGTGAAACTCAGTTCCAAGTATGAGAACTTGTGTTAGGAGGATTTATGCATAATAGATAGATGAAGTATGTGTCAACCTTTGAAATTAAGAGAGGATATCATAGAAATTCTGATTAGTATGCAAGAACTAGTCCTGATCCTTAACTGTAATGGTGTCCCTTGCAATATGTGGAAGCCAGTTAATGGTAGCCCAGCATAGCACTTTGGATCTCAGCTGATCATAAGCAGCTTTCATCTAAACCTAGCTATGATTTGTTTAAGCTTGTGCTTTTCTTTCCTAGTTTGTTTTATATATTTTGGGAATTGGTGTGTTCAAGAAAATGTGCTCTATTGAGTTCGGTGTGATAATGCATGTTTTTTCAGTTTTAGCATCTGACAAGGCCATATTTTCTTTATCAATGATGTTTGTTGAAGCAAAAAATGGAATTATTTACCATTTTATATGATCTGTTTCACACAGCATTACTGTAATGATTTTAAATGATGCATAAAACTATAATTTGCCATATATGCCATAGTTTTAAGATTGTTTGTTTTTGGCCTTGTTATACTAGACTAATGTTCTTGTGGGTTTTAGCAGAATCTGGGATGAGGGGTATTTAGATGTCTATATTTAATGGATCTTAAGTTGTTTTTTTTGTAAAAATAAGAAGTTATTATTTTTCTTCTTCAAGTCTTAAATCTTAAATTGAAATTGGTACATTATAAGGATGGGAGTGAATGCTATCAGTTGATGAAGATGCCTCTGTGCTTGTTTCTTATTTTTTCTCGTATATTTACAAGCTCCAAATTCCTTTTCATCATTTATAGCAGTTAGATTGCCTAATTAATTATTTTTAATTTATAAATGCAATAAAGTCTTGCTTTAGATTCATAGATTGACTAGTGATAAAGAAGTGGAAGATATTCAAGTTGGTGTGTGCTAAGAGTATAAGTAGACCATCATTAGCTTTATCATAACTATTTAGGTTTTTATAAATCTCTTTCAATTCAATATTGTTAAGTGCTTTTTGAAGCATTAAATTTGACCTCCATAAATCAATTTGAACAACTTCACATTATCTTAGTTCAATAAAATCAATATTACAGTTAAAAGATTAGGTATATTTTAGGCTAGATTAGTTGTTCTTAAAGCAACCTTTTTTTCTATGTAGTTCTTCCTATCATTGAAATAAATGATGTGATGCAAGTCTAAGTTGCCTTTTGTTATGCTTATAGTTTTATAATTCATGTTAGATGGTATGATCCGAACATTTATAGGCAATAAGTGAGCTACTAGAGATCTTTGTGGATAGTGTGGTTTGTACTAGGGAAAGAATCACGTGTAAATGAAGTTTTCTACATCATAAAGGATATCAAACAAAGCTCATAGATTTAAGAAGGATTTTTAAGAAGATTTCTTTGAGGGACACCTTGATAAAATGTTGGTTAACAAATTTTTGGCCGTTTTACCCTTCATTTGCATGAGAGTTGAACGATGGGTTGATGTGTTGTAAGTGAACCACTTAAGGTTTGTTAAATGTTTACCTCCTCCTACTGGCAGTAGTTTCTTAAAGTTCACCTTTATAAAGACATCAAAGGTAGCTTAGATTAATATGCATATATTATCATATGGAAAAATTGGTCAAAATTGATTTGACTAAAATAATTTCCCTCCTTCAATCATAACATCATGGAATTTCTGAGCTATTCCCTTTAAAAGACAATTTATTGCTACCCAAGGTACATAATGTTGATTGCTTGTTCATTGGTTGAAGAATTTTGCAACTGGGCTAGAAAGACTTATACATAAAATCAATTCTATTGTTTTATTCATTTTTTTAATGCAGTGGATGTTTCCATAAACCATACTTGAAATATTGTTAAAATTTTAATTTCTAACAATCACGTGAATTTATTTGGGTGTTCTTTGTAGAGGTTCCTTTCATTTATATCAAATATTGCTTGTTTAACTTTTTCAACCTGATTTCTTCCACGTAATTATCTGGATTTTTAAATCATATATATACTTATTGCATCATATATACCCAGATAACTTGCAGCTGATAAAATTTAATCTTTGGAAACAGGACATTGCTCTCTAATAATTTTTAAGAAAGGTTTTTGATTGAACATTAGTTACATTATTGCATTTATTTTAGTAGGTTGTGGCTTTGTTTTTTTCCATTGATTTCTTAGTGATTCTTCTTTTGACGATTCTAGTTTGGATGCATCTATTTCAAATACATCTATTAGTTATGGCACTCTTTGATTTAACACATTCATTTCTTCTAATTGGCGCTTCGCTGTTCTTTGAGTAGGGTATTACAATTTTAGTCTAGTTTTGCACTTGCTTTATATAGAATCTGGTCTTGGTTCCGTTTGTCATTGCTTTTTTATTACTTATCTTTCCTTGATCATCCGAAGTAGTTTGAGGGCGGTCAGAAAAGCACATATCCAAAAATGTCCTATTGTATAGAATGATAGTTTATGTAGCTTCTTTAGGAAAGCAAATTCATTAATTTTGCTTTATTATCTAATTAATTAATTTAATTATTTTGATTAACTAAGATTAGGGACTTTTAAATGATTGTTTTGAATTCATAATAATATTCATTTTGGTCACTCAATTATCTCATATTCATGTCACAATAATTATTTTAGAGTTATAGAGTTTTTTTATCGCACAACTCTAGAAGTACTTTAGAATTGTTTTTGCATATGTTTTACTTAAGAGCACAACTAAACACAACTCTGTACATGAAAACGCAACATAGTAGAAGTCAACATTGTCAACCGTAGTCTTAATCTACTCTAGATCTAGGATTGTGCTCTAAAATGTGGTACATATATAGTTAAAGACACAATTTGATAATATATTGGTGGTTCTTCGCTCCTACCAAAAGAATTTCACTTTAATAATCTTGTGCTAGCCTTAGTCAAAATCCTTGATACTCATATCCTTGAGCTCACAATTTACTGAACTTTTAACTGCAATATTTATTTAATATGATTATACTACTGTAAATCACAATCCCTAGGTGCATAGGTGCTGACCAATGTTTAAAATTGCGTAATCGGGTATTGAGGTGTAAGCCTGAAATTCAAAAAATTCCATAAACATAAAATGATAAATTTTGTATATACTAATGATTAAATAATATATAAAACATAAAAATGCACAAGATATGAAGTGAAATCAAAATATCCCAATAATAAGACAACATGAAATATAGTTCAACTCAAACTCCATCTTTCCCAAATCACAGTATTCTTTTCATTAACATATAATTCCAAAAATAAATAGCAATGACATATCACATTAGAACTCATAAGTCATCAGCACTATCATCACTAAGGGGGTCTTCATTTCAATCATCAGTATGATGAATTGCTCTCTCCCCTTTCTCCTCTCCCATAAAGTCCAATGTCCCCAATTAGGTCCTTCAATATCAGTTATCTTTCTCTTCCATAAATATTTTTGAACAATCTCATAATAAATAATAGTGCAATACATTAATAAAAGTCTAAATTTTTTTTATTATTTATATACCTTATTTGATTTATTCTTGAGTTGTGATGATGTAGATGCTTTAAGACTATCAAAGAAATCAACATTTAAATCTTCATCTTGTAATTCAGACGGCATCACTTTAACTTCATCATCTACAAACCACTCATCATCAGTTGCCACATCCTTGCAAAGCAAAGGATCTTCATCATCCATTAATCATTTTTTCTTTAAATTCCTATCTCTGAGTCTTTTATTATACA